CGACGACGTCACAGGTCAGGTCAAAGATAAAATGTTTCATCGTTTACGGGGCTTCTAGGGAAAGCGCTATAACACCGAGTAAAACGCATTTTGTCGAAAATCAGCGATAAGGCGTCATTTGTCTAGTACATATGTTGCTAATAGAGGTCACTGGTCATACCAGGTCAGGTCACAGGTCAGGTCACCAAAGGTCACCAAGGGTCACCACATGAGCCCAACTTTACTAAGGTTATGCGATGCATGTTTTATGGCCAGTTTTTCATTTCCAACTCAATGGTGTTGGTTATAAGACCATCAGGTACGGTTTAGGTCACTTTCTGGTGGAGGTCAGGTCAAGGTCAGGTCAAAAAAGGTCAAATTTCAAAAATGATATTTTTGCATAAAATGGGTATCGATTCGATGCAGCTCGTCACGGGGAGTCTAATGGTGGTCTTTGTTTTGCGCTACGAGGTATAGAATTGCTAAAAATTGAGTTTGAAAATTTTACGTCATCAATTTTGAACAGTTTTTTCGCTATAACTTGGCCAAAAAAAGAGGTATCGATTTCAAATTTGGTATGTAGATAGAAGGCGGTAGGGACTATCACATATATTCCGTTTTTTTCGAAATTCAAAAAACTTTTTGGATTTTTTGGCTATTATAATCAAAAATTTATTTTTTGATTTTTGGGGGTCAAAATCCAAAAATTCGAAAAACCGAAATAGCAGTTTTGTAGCCCTTTTGATTTCACACCTTTTATGTCTGAAACATTTTTCTGTATCTCTAAAGCTGTAGGCCTGACAGCTCTTCCCGCGAAACCTTTTTTTGGGTCGAAAATGGCAAAAATGACGTCACTCTGACGTCATTAGCGGCCAACCTATCATAGCCTTTGGAAAAATTTTTGGTCACTATGTGCGCTAGCTGCTCCCGGGAGGGTACTGAAAGTTTGGTGACGATCGGCGCAGCGGTTCTCGAGATATATTGAAAAAACTGAAGGGGGGCAAAAAAATGCCCCCCCCCCCCCACCGCCTGGAAGGTTAAATTAGGTGCACTCGCCGGATAGCCCGTCGTGAAAACGGCTGTTATAGCGCATTCCCTAGAAGACCCGTGAACGGTGAAACATTTTATCTTTGACCTGACCTGTGACGTCATCGGTGACCCCGAGGTCAATTAAATTTGGTTTCCTTCGACAAATTTGACAGGGCTATCGAACACCGTTTGAATTTTACGGATCCGTCCAATAGTTTCGGAGATACGGGGGGCCAAAAAAATGCCCCCCCCCTCACCGCCCGCGGGCGGTCCGGCCACATTCCGCGGAATGTGGCCGGGAGGCCCACCGCCTGTCGGGCTAATTGACCTACGAGTTTTTGAAGCGATTCTGAATCCGACGCTTTATTCGTTGCTGTTGCTGACGCTAACTTCACGGACATGTCACGTGACTGATGCATGATATAATATTTCCGTGACCTGTGATGACCTGACCCCAGGCGCGCACACAGGATTTTTGAATGGGGGGGGGGCACGACCTTCGAACTGGGCCCCCCATGCCGAAGGGCCCCCCCCCCAAAAAAAAAGCGGCGCAGTGGAAGGGGGGGGGGCGGATTCCGTCCACCCCTCCTGTTTTTCGCCAATAACTCACGCTGCAAACATAATATTAATGTGAAATTTTGGCTACCTGTTCAGAATTGAACTGCGGATCTTCTCGTGCAAGATATAAGAAAATCGGGCCACAACTTTTCTAGCAATAGCGGTGTAAAGTCAAACATCCTGCCGCCGCGGCGGCACGGCGGCGCGGCGGCCGGCGCTAGCCGTTACGCGCCGCCTGAATTGTAGACTGTGCCGGGGCGGGACGGTTCCGTCTTTACATCGCGCTCCTTACCGCTGATTATATTCGATTCCCGTCAAATTTTATGAGAAGACTAAGAAATGTACAGGCAATCTCATGGTCAATAAATTTTTAACATCGGCCGGTAACAACTTGAGTTATGAGTGTGTAAACACAAAATTGTGATTGCCGCGTTCCCCGCGTCGGCCGATCCCGCTTCAGCCGGCGACATCTTACCCTTAGAAGGCTTCTAGCTGCCATATTTATTGTTGGATTAACTAGAAATTCACCATACATATTCACAAATGTATATTCTTTCGTATAGTGAAAGAAAAAAGGAAATCGACCGGTGACTTTTTGAGTTATCGGCGTGTAAACGCAAAAAAGTCGCTCATATGGCAGATTTGACCACATTTGACCTCATTTGACCTTGAAGATATTGACCTAGGGTCATGAAATTCACACACAATAGAGTTCTCCAGGGCCTTCGCCTACCCTCAAAATTTCGTCTTTCTAGCTCCAGTGGGAGCTGAGATCTGGGGGGGGGGGCGACATCCGCCCCCCTTCCACTGGGCGTAGTACTCGTAACCCTTCCACTGCGCGTGTTAAAGGGCCCTCAGATGGCCTCAAGTAACCAGGGACCCCATCAATAACCGGGGCCCCTCAGTAAACGGGGGCCACTCAGGTAACTGTAGGAGTCCCGCAGATAACCAGGGGCGGCAAGGTTTCTCAGGTCCGTTTTTGACAAGGCTCTTCTTGACTCACTGTGCGAGCCCTTTGTCATCAGCAGAGGGCCCTTTCAAGCCTTTTGAGGGCCGTGTAACGTCTCTTGAGTTTCCATTGAGGCCTTCTAAGCGCCCTTTGAGCAGTCGAGGGGTCTTTGAGGCCTTTTGAGGGCCTCTTGACTAGAGCACTTCATGGGCCGGATAAATCCGTTATCCACGGATAAATCCGCGGACCGGATAGGATTGGATTCTAAATTTGTTAAAAAAGAACGGATATGGGCGGGCCGGATTTGGGAATTGAAGGTTGAACCCGGATCAAAACGGATCAAAATTTTAACATTCAACATTGAAGTTAAAAATTAACCTAATGTGTTAAGCGGCAGCAGAGGTAGATGAGATGGTCTATGATGGGCTATGAGATGTATGGCTGTCTGGTCCCTTAGATTGAATTTGTTAGTCCAGTTTTGGGTGAAACCAGTTATTGGTGAAACGGATTATTACGGATATTTTTTGGAAGTTTGGCTGCAATACGGGCCATGGGTGGGCCGGATTCTGATATTCAAAGAAAGGCGGATAATGGGCGGATCTGGATATGACTTGCCGGATATGGGCCGGGCCGGATCCTAAAAAGCCTATCCGTGAAGTGCTCTACTCTTGACGTCAGCTGAGGACCGTTGGACGCCAGCTGAGGACCGTTTTTGGGCCTTCTGATGGCCATTAGACGCCAATGGATGACCCTCTGACACCAACTGGGGCCCTCTGACACCAGCTAAGGGCCCTTTAAGTTTGACGCTTGCTCAGGGCCCTCTGACATCAGCTGGGGGGCCCTCTGACGCTAGCTCAAGACCCTTTTACGCTCTTTAAGGCCTTCTGAGGGCCCCTTGAGGCTTTCTAAGGGCCCCTTGAGGCTTTTTGAGGGCCGCTTGACGCCAACTGAGGACCGCTGGACTCCAGCTGAGGACCGTTTGAGGCCTTCTGATGGCCATTTGGCGCCAGCTGAGGGCCATCTGACACCAGCTGGCGTTTGACGTTAGCTGAGGGCCCTTTGAGGCCATCTGAGGGCCCTTTAAGGCCATCTGAGAGCCCTTTGAGGTCATCTGAGGGCCCCTTAAGGCCATCTGGGACCCTTCGAGGCCATCTCTGAGGGCCCTTTGACACCATCTAAGGGCCCTTTGGCACCAGATGAGGGCCCTATGACGCTAACTGAGGGCCCTTCGAGGTCATCTGAGGGCCTTTTGAGACCATCTGAGGGCCCTTTAAGGCCATCTGAGAGCCCTTTGAGGTCATCTGAGGGCCCCTTGAGGCCATCTGGGGCCCTTCGAGGCCATCTGAGGGCCCTTTGACACCATCTAAGGGCCCTTTGACACCAGATGATGGCCCTATGACGCTAACTGAGGGCCCTTTAAGGTCATCTGAGGGCCCTTCGAGGCCATCTGAAGGCCTTTTGAGACCATCTGAGGGCCCTTTGTACACGGTCTTCGGTGGTCTAAGGATTAGTAAGAGGCCCATTTGAGGCGGCCTTCGGCCGCCTCAAATGGGCCCCTATTCCTTCGAGCTGGGCCCCCCAACTCGAATGGGGGGGCACGGGCCCGTGTGCCCCCCCTTGTGTGCGCCCTTGCCTGACCCTGACCTGAAAATCAAAGTACAAGTTTGGCATTCTCAGGGTATATAAGCATCTGTTCACGAGTGTGTAAACCAAACCGAAGCCTGATCTGAATTGTAAGACGGCGGCCACAGGCCACAGCCCAAAATGTGAACAAGCCAAACATCGATAATTTTTGCTTTGACCTGACCTGTGACATCGTCGGTGACCTCGAGATAAATGAAATTGGGTTTCGCTCGACAGTTTTTCCGGGGCTATCAGACGCCGTTTGAATTTTGACGATCAGCCCAGTATTTTTGGAGTTAGGAGGGGGCTATGAACAGCCCCCCCCCCCCCTAGTAGGGCGCGTTACACGCAGAACCCAGTAGAGCGCGGGCTATTTTGACCTAAGATAAACAGTTTAGCCCTGTCAAAAACTAACCCTGTCAAATAAGGAGCAAGAGTTTTAACTTAAGCGTTTTGTGTTTAACAGTTTGATGCAACATTTCATAATCAAAGGCCAAAGCTCACACATTAATTTAACCGCACGTGTGTTCCTCTCGTCGAGATGCGTCGAAGCATAAGAAGACGTCGAAGGCTATAATTTGACCGTAAAGTTGTGGCTAGTTCGGTGTATTTTATCACAAATTGGATCCTTGTTTGGTGCTGGCTAGTTGAGTGTCGTGAGATCAAACCTAAGAAACACCGTTAAAAACACTTATAGCTGAAATTGTTCAGTAAATTACCAATCATTTGATGGAAAAGAAACGCACATAAGCACTGTCTTTAATTTAGTACACTAGGTTTCTGTCAATAGATTCATGTTTTGTCCAATGTGCGCAGTATTTGTATTTGATTCGTCAACACAATAGTTCGTAAAAAACTGAGCTCTGTTCGCACCCCGTTTATTTATCAGCAGACTTATGACGTCGGCGGTCGATTTACGTCACGGGACATGACGTCATCACTGCAAGCTACGTGCTACGTGAAAGAGACATATATGATGCTGTACTGACATTGGTGGCGCACATCAACAAATGCTCTCCCGAGCTGTTTGGTGTGTTTATTGTTTCACATAGGTATGTTGTGATTATATTCGGTTTTGAAAATTTATTTTTTGTGTTATTTAATTTTATATGCTGTTTATTTGTTCAGCCATAGGTGATAGGCATAGAACGTTCATTTTCTATTTGTAAACGATTTTACCTGCGTTTTGGAGTACCTACTTCATAGAAGAGCATTTCAATTTAGTGTTTGATTGTGTCAGAATATGTGTGCTAAAATGCAATATTTTGCTTCATTAGATTTGCTGTCCCCTGAAGTTTGTAAGGATTTAGGTACCTTTTAAAATACTTGGCCACTCAATATTGTCATTTTATTTCCCAATTTATGTTCACAAATATTTATTATAAGTAGGTACTGTGTGGTGATACTTTTGCTGTTTCTTCCTTCAAATTATTGTTATTGCCTTGTGTTTTATCTTGGCATACCTATCCATGTAATTTTTATCTTAAATATAGGAAAATATTCCCAAGAAGGCACTGAATTCATAGCACTCGTACATGTGGTGATTGTTGGTGATGTGTATCCCGGACCGTGAAGCTTGAAAGCCTACTTATATGCCACAATTTTTAATATTCAAGTTGATTTTTAATGATGAAATTATAAAAAAGTTGTTCAGAACCTTGCACAGAACCTTGCACGGACTGGTTTACATATGGAATGATAAATAAACAGTTCTCATCAATCCAAACAAAAATATGGCACATGCTCATGAGAACATTTACTGCAGGTCTTTGACCATTTGCTGGAAAATGCCTTCCGCCAGCTGTCTGGTTAAGTCTTCAGACCTGAGGCATCATCTTGTTATCACTCTGAATAGCTTAGTGAGGTTGCTGAAGGCCTCTATTACTGCTTCCTCTGAGGCTCTGACTCTGAGGTGCTTGAGCAATAAGCATTTTGGACTTTAAAGGAGGGAGTGAATTTTCTGATCCCTTGTTTCCTTGGCAGGTGATTTATCGCTGCTTAGGGCCAGCGGCCCATCGGACAGCCTTGAGAAGACCGCCGCACGCTGTTTGCAGTCCGTCGACCACCTGTCTTCAACGGACGGACGCCCTCGGTCCCACTCAGCAATTGACTGAAGCCTATCGCGCCGATATGCTCGCTCATCTTCCATCCTCGCCCTGCCTGATGGTTTCGACGACCCGGGCTGTGGTCCCTGAGGTTCGGAACCCGTCTCGCTGGCCTGCCAGCAAGAGGCCTGGCGCTCGTCGCAGACGAGCGCTGCAGTGTGGCCAGTGAACCTGATGCTTCACTGGCCACACTGCTGGCACTGATACTGCACATCGCACAGCTCGTTATATAACAATTGAACACATGTCAGGCGTGATTAATTTGTAGATATTTGTCAACAGCCTTTAATTTTTGGCATTGATTCGTTGTGTGACGTTGTTTTGTTCGCATGTGGCCATGTGGATAAGGCTACTGGCCAGTGGCCATAGCCTTATCCTTCTCGTTAAATTTGTTATCTGGAAATAAATGTCACCACTCACCATAAATGTGTTCTACATGGGCAATGACTAACTATTCTACTGTACATTTTACGGATGTCACATTTCATGGTGCTTCAGGATAGATATCACAAGCGTCGTACTTCTATGTTACGTTGATTACGCACCTGTAACCGCAGGCAATAACAGCCGGACACAGGCTGACACGCGCTATTCACCGATGGGCATATGAACAGATGGGTGTCGTGATCGTGGGCATGGTACTGCCTAGACTCGGCAATAATTAGGGCATTTTTAACCCGGCAGGCGGTGGGCCTACCAGCCACCTTCCGCGCGGTGGGGGGGGGGGGCACTTTTTTGCCCCACCCCCCGTATCTCCGAAACTACTGAACGGATCCGGAAAATTCAAACGGCGTTCGATAGCCCTGTCAAATTTGTCGAGGGAAACCAAATTTCATTGACCTCGGGGTCACCGATGACGTCACAGGTCAGGTCAAAGATAAAATGTTTCACCGTTCACGGGGCTTCTAGGGAAAGCGCTATAACACCGAGTAAAACGCATTTTGTCGAAAATCAGCGATAAGGCGTCAGTTGTCTAGTACATATGTTGCTATTAGAGGTCACTGGTCATACCAGGTCAGGTCACAGGTAAGGTCACCAAAGGTCACCAAGGGTCACCACATGAGCCCAACTTTCCTAAGGTTATGCGATGCATGTTTTATGGCCAGTTTTTCATTTCCAACTCAATGGTGTTGGTTATAAGACCATCAGGTACGGTTTAGGTCACTTTCTGGTGGAGGTCAGGTCAAGGTCAGGTCAAAAGAGGTCAAATTTCAAAGTTGATATTTTTGCATAAAATGGGTATCGATTCGATGCAGCTCGTCACGGGGAGTCTAATGGTGGTCTTTGTTTTGCGCTACGAGGTCTAGAATTGCTAAAACTTGAGTTTGAAAATTTGACGTCATCAATTTTGAAGTTTTTTCGCTATAACTTGGCCAAAAAAAAGAGGTATCGATCTCAAATTTGGTATGTAGATAGAAGGTGGTAAGGGCTATCACATATATTCCGGTTTTTTCGAAATTCAATAAACTTTTTGGATTTTTAGGCTATTATATTCAAAAAATCTATTTTTTGATTTTTGGAGGTCAAAATCCAAAAAATTCGAAAAACCGAAATAGCAGTTTTGTAGCCCTCTTAATTCCACACCTTTTATGTCTGAAACATTTTTCTGTATCTCTAAAGCTGTAGGCCTGACAGCTCTTCCCGCGAAACCTTTTTTTGGGTCGAAAATGGCAAAAATGACGTCACTCTGACGTCATTAGCGGCCAACCTATCATAGCCTTTGGAAAAATTTTTGGTCACCATGTGCGCTAGCTGCTCCCGGGAGGGTACTGAAAGTTTGGTGACGATCGGCGCAGCGGTTCTTGAGATATATCGAAAAAACTAAAGGGGGGGGGGGGGCAAAAAAATGCCCCCCCACCGCCTGGAAGGTTAATTCTCGCCGAACCTATCGGTTTTCTTCATCAGATGCCGTTTAGGGGGAGGGTAGATGGACTCTGCCCTCCCCGCCCCTCGCCATTTCGGACTAAATTGCGACATTTTAGGGCCGTGCAGAGGTTCACTTACGACGTCCCAAGTCAGTAACCTGACCTGACCTAATAATGTGGTCGGTGTGAAGATCCGTCTTTAATGTTCAAGTGCGCCAGCTTTCATCTCTATACCAGCGCCTTCCGAGCAATTATATTAAAAAAAAAACGTCGAGGGCGACACCCGAACCCCCTCTTCTCGGTGGCGAGGGCTAGGAGGTAGTGCTTATTAAGGGAGAATGGCTGCGCTATTTGACTGTGCCATTCGAGCCCTACCAACACCTGTGATGAACCGACGACCGGTGCGAAAGGAACATCGGCGTTCTCGGCCAGTAGCGGTGGAACACCTTCAATTAAGGGGGGGGGGGCACTGCCGACTTTTGGTCCCATTCTAAATTCTTTCCATGCAACGCCCATAGGGCTAATGTAAAAATGTCAAAATCAAAGGGGGCACGGTGCCCCGGTGCCCTCCTCATTCCGCCGCCTATGTTCTCGGCAAAGTTGCCAATGATATGCAAAGTTTGAATGATTCACTGCATAATGCCAAGTCCTTTTGGCTCCTGCGAGATGTCGCTAGCGCGTTGATGAAGTTCAATATAGAGGTCACTAGCGTCGAGCCATGAAACCCAAGATTACTTTCATGAAACCTACGCAGCTAACGGATGGGGCTGCAGACAAAAGTACGCCAAAAGTACGTCGTGACCGTGGTCTCCGCTGCTAAGCGACAATCAAAAGGGACATTGCTCAGCTTGTTTGGCGCACGTGTGACAGCGGCGCGGGGCGCGCCCAAATCGGCCGCGCCTTCGCTGCGGTTGGCCCACAGCGACCGCACGAACTCTGCGGTTATAACAGCAGCCTACGTCACACACCCATAGTAAGCGCACGGTAGCCTACGTCAGCAGCCTGCGTGCGTTTCTCGGCCTCCCATTGGTCAACAGCACATTCCTATCTCTTCAACACAGTAGCCACCTAGTGGGCTGTTGGGGAAGCTGTTTTGACAGCAGCGGGCGAACAGAGCTCTGGTTTCAATACTTGCCGCTAGTAACTATAACCCGGTTTACATAGCATTTTTGACGAGGCTCTAGCTCGTTAATTTGGCGATGATTTCGATGCAGTGGTCTTCAAATATTTAGAGGGGATCATTTTGTAAATTGTTAAGCACCATTGGCATCTTTTGCAACATCACGGACGGAGATATAAGCTTGCAACAAACCCTATGTAAACCGGTCTTATTTTACTTCATTTATTTTGATGTATATATCCTTCTTTACATCCAATGCGAAATATTTAATAAATTAAAGTGCACAATGACAAGATAGATTTAGACAACGAAAGCTGTAAATTTGGATCTTAGTCATTGGATATTTATTACCCGCTAGGGGCATTCCGAAAAGGTAATAAAGTTTACACAAGTTATATGATACCATTAACAATTTACCGAATGGTAAATTGTCAATGGTACAATCAAGGGTACAATTCACCCAATTGTAAATTGTCTGGAAGGCGTTTCGACATTTTGAAACATATGACAATCTGTCCATATGTGTTCCTCAACTCCCGACTGGAAAAAATGCCTCCACTACGCTGAAGTTCTCGGCGGAGGTGATGCGCCGAAATTTCGGCGCAAGGGTTTATGCGCCGAAATTATTTTACCAAGCCGTGCTTCATGCGCCGAAAATTTTCAAGGCTTACTGATGGCTGCAGGCTGTAGCCACGCACTTTTCGTCGAGGGGGGGGGGGGGGCTGGCGTGTGTGTGTGTGGCTGTCTTCCAGTGACTACTGTCTACAGACGGTTGTTGGCACGGTCGACGGGATCGGGCAGACAATAGACATCAGCAGGCCATGCGGGACCGAGCACCAGCGTTCGCTATCACAAAATCTCCTGACTCACAAACTCACTGGCATGTTCCATAACGTAACCTTTATTTTGTTGCCCGGCTCTGATCAGCAGTATGTGCCCAGCCGGTGACTGACGCCTGACGGGGCCTTCAACAGGCGTGGTGCAAGCACGGCCGATGGGATCGGGCAGATACCAGGCCACGCGGGACCGATTGCCAGCGTCCGCTCGCAAACCACACGCCGGAAATACAGGAATCACAACGGTCAATACGCAAACGATAGCATACGTTATCTGAACTAGGGGATCCGACAATCCATAACCTCACTCTCGATCGGTGAACTGTTCCCGCCGTGGGAGAGTCACAATCAGGTTCACTGAACATGACTTAAATACCCTGAGACGAACACGAGACAAGATAAGTGATATTTAAGATGTTTAACTCCCGAAGACATTTAACCCTCGCCGGCCGAGGGGGGTTGGTGCCACCCCCTGACGGGTTTTTCGCGACTGCTCCGGAGCCGTTTGCGATAGAGAGATAGAGAAAACCGTCGATTTACGCCGAAGTACGCCGAAAATTTCGGCGCAAGCCGTCGATTTACGCCGAAGTACGCCGAAAAATTTCGGCGCAAACGCCCAACTACGCTCGAGTTCTCGACGAAAGCGTGCATTTTTTCCAGTCGGGCCTCAACTTGTCTTATTCCAAAAACAACAGCAACAAGAACAAGTTCCTTAACTTCCTATGCTGCTCTTATTCATATTAATGCATAAAAGGAATCACAAGCTTTGGCATAATGTTCAAGAAACTTAAAGACAAAATTTCTGAAGAGGTTGGGCAGTCGTCCATTCGCCTTCCTATTCAGCAACTCTCGTCACAGGTGGGTCGTGATAATTGTTTGTTTGACAGATTCAATACCTTATTAAACATTTTGATTTGTTTAAATGATGTAAGGCTGAAGGTGCTTAACTTGCAAGTTACATTGTAGGTACATCAGTTGTTGACTCCACTTGGTATTCTTAGTAATAGTGTATTGTGTTATCTAAATTGCAAATGCATAATCCTCTTAGTTGTGCTTAAGTAAACATTTCATAGAAATATCCTGCTCAAATCTGGGTTTTGCATGCATCTTCTGTTCTTTTGCTGTCATTTAGTTTTGCTTTGTTATACTGATTTATTTTGTGCCTTGCTTTCCAGCTCGCTTCCTATGTGTCTGAGGGCTCTCGCATTGGGCGGAGTGACCTTAGTCTTGCCAGCTCGGCGGCTGCCCCCAAGCCCCGTGCTGCAGAGGTATGGAATGCTAACGTAATGGCTGAATCAATGTTGTTTGTTCACCATCTTATTATTATTTTTTTTTAAGAGGGTCTGCATTACCTATGTGTTGTCAAATGTCAATAGTGTTCTGGTAGAGCTATACATCTTGCCACTGTGCCACCTTGCCACCTCCCCTAGGATTTAGGAAGATGAAATGAAGTGTAATGACAAGAGGCATAAGTTCTTTTTATTGCATCTTGTGAAGGACCTTGTACCACTCTTACAATATTTTGTGATCTCGAGGGCCAAGAGAAAACATTTCATCATTGAATGGATTACCACCATCACTTAATTGTAATGATGCAAGATCTGATATCTGTTTTGATGATTGTCATAAGGCAGCATCCTGTCGGCTCAAGGTCTGATTCCCTCTGTTCTTATTCCCTGTCTCGTTCTGTTTTCAGTCAATTGCTGATGTTTCTGTGACCAGTGAGGTTCTTGACAGCAGTAGGATCAGCATTGATGGAGATGGTAAGCCTGGTGCTTTCTTACATATACGCTTGACATTCCTGGTACTTTTGAATCGGGCTGACTATGTTTGTCTTGAGTGGCTTGGGCCCTGGCCTGTCCCCTTTCATGTTAGCCAACCCTGTCATTCTGTTGTGACTTTGTTGTGCATACAGTTATTATCTTTGGGTTTGATTCTATTTAAACATTGGTAAATTCCAAATTCCAAGCCATGGTCACACTGCTCTATTCTAACCTGTCACCCCTCGTGCTCTGCCAGGGTGTGAGTCGCGCGCCGGCGGCGGCGCCCGGCCCCGACACCAGGCCAAGACTGTGGGAGCCTGTCTGCGGCACCCGGACGGCCACGTTCACTGCCAGCACGTGAGTCACTGGTCCGGGGAATGTAGGGGAGGGGAGTCTGGTTCGGGCCAGTGCGGTGTGATTGTGGGGGCGAGGTGAGACGTGAATGGAGCTAGTTGTGTCATTGATCTGGTCATTGATTTGTCCTCGCCGAACACTCCTCTTTGAAAAGCCGCGTCTGTTGAAATATTCAACTCAGATGTTTACTTTGATGGCATACGGAGCTAAGGCATCGGAAATTTCTTGCCTCCGACGTCAGCCGTATTTTATGCTCGCTGCCAACTGAGGCCCGAAAGTGTTGCACCGTAAAAGGAGACCGTTTTACTGCCGACCGTTAAACATTGGGAGGCCTCAGCAACCCATAAGCACGGATTTAATATGGATATCCTCATCATGGTTCACCTATCGTGTGCACGGATCCTACCGCAAAATGATTGTGATGGCTGTGTCTATCGTAGTTTGTCGTCTCCATAGTCATAAATCGAGGTGGATATTTATTAATTACCGAATACCACCACCTCCGTTCGATCTGGCTAACTAACCTCACCCGCTACCTCCCGCCAGGCGGACCTGGACGCGTTCAGTGAGATCAGCTCCATGGCCAGTCTGGGCACCGTCTCCAAGGAGCAGCTGCTGCACAGCTACCAACGTATCCGGGCCAAGTACAACCAGCAGAGGACGCGGCAGGCTGAGCTGGCCCGCTCGTGCCACCAGCTGGAGACGGACTGCAGACAGGCGCAGGTGGGCGACTGTGTTCCCCAGGCGTCCCCCGGGCGCAGGTGGGGGACTAACTGGATGGTCACTGGCGGGATGTGGTGACCGGCTGCGATTGGGGATCGAGTGGGGTGTTGATGAATATCGCCGTGTAGCAACTTATGAAGACTTGCTGATTGCTGAGAGTTTAGCTAAGATGAACGGTTGGAAATGAAGTAGGCAACTGGGGCAATCAGTAGAAGATGTTTGGTATTTGGTTCAGTGCATGAACTATGTTATGTTCAATGTCGTTTAATTTGTTGCAATATACAATGGCGATTCAAGCCATTTTTTGCAGTGTGTATTGGCCTTTTCCATAAATGTGTCGCGTCTGGTGTCCGCAGGTGTCTCTAAAACAGAGTGAGTCTAGAGAGGAAAAGCTGAAAGCCGAGCTCAAACAACGAGATGAGCGCATTACCCAGCTCAGTTCCAGCGATAAGGTAAGTGAGCGATACACGGAATGAATGTATGTTGCTGATTTCGTGATCTTCATTCATTCATTCGTTTTTTATCCATTCATCCATTCATTCATTCATTCATTGATTCATTCATTCATTCATTCATTCATTCATTCATTCATTCATTCATTCTTTCACTGAACCATCACATCCCACCCTTCCCAGGCCGCAGACGCGACTGGAGATGGCGACACGGAGTCCTCGCCAGCTGCCGCCGCTGTCAACGGTACCACCGCCTCTCCTGGGCCCAAATCCGCCGAGGATGGCCCGACAGACGACAAGGTCACGGCAGAGCAGTCGGCAGAGGTCACCGCGGAGCTGGACCGGCTCAAAGGTAGGTCTAAGAGTATGCCTCCAGCAGGTAGCATTTCGTGGCGCTTGTTCGTGTTCAAATCTGAATGTGTGTTATCTGTGTTCAAATCTGTGTTAGAAATCTGAATGGTCGTACCATCAGCTTATCCATTTTTCTCTCGGCTCTTGTTCAGACGATGGGTAATTGACCATGTTTTCGTTGTTAACCCGTGTAGCGCAGAAGCAGCTCACCAGCTGTGTTTGGATTCCACTGACATTCCGTTCCACGTCTATCTCCGCAGACAAGGTGTCCCAGCAGGAGGCGCTGCTGCTCAAGTGTAAGGAGAGTATCCGGCAGCACAAGGCGCGTCTGTCGGCCGCCACGGCTGAGAGGGATCAGCTGAGGGATTCCAGTGAGCAGCGGCAGGCGGAGCTCGCCACCCTGCAGGTAACGATCCACGGGAGAGGGAGGTAGGCAGGGCAGTGAAAGGGGCGGAGGGGATCAGTTTAATGCTGCCATTTATGATGTAAAAGGAAGATGCTTGTGGTTTACTCAAAAATGCTGCCAGAAGTGAACGATTTTTCTTTTGCCGTTACGTTTAACTGTAAAATGAGATGTTGCTATGCGTGGTGCGCGTTTTGTTTTGAAGTAACCGGCCAATTCCGTTGTTAACAAAGACGGGACGACCGAAATAATTTTACCTACTTTTCCTTTGCCATTATACCGTCTAACGGTCGTTCCCAGCCTGAGCCAATGTTAGTTTACTCATGTTTCTGACGTTTTTTTTTTGCCAGGAGAGCGCAAAGGCGGAGTCTGCTCGTTTGGAGGAGACGGTTTCTGAACTGCGAGAGTCACTGCTGCAAAAGGATGCCCAGGTAGGGTAGATACTAGATGGGGGACTGGGGTGAGTCTTGAATAACTATACAGTCAGTTTCCGATCGTAAAATCATCATCAATGTTCGTTTGTATCATCCAGGTACGAAACGTGCTGCTGCCTGATAGCATAATCTCTTCTTGCTGTATTTGACGAACCTTGTGTCGTTCACAGGTTCAGCAGTTGCAGCAAGAGTTTGAAGACTCGCAAAAGCAAGGTAAGTTGGGTAGGATGGGCGCAGGCAGTTTAGAAAGATTATTTGGTTTGTAGTAAAAAAGTTGCATTAAGTTTTGCACAATTTTTGCAGAATTTAGTCATAAGCATTACAGCTGCAATGAATTATTACATTTCTGGATCCACCTGACCATTCTGTCATTTTGACCAGCTATAAGGGCCCTGTTTCAACGGTGATAGCAGCACGCTACTATTCCATTTCGCGAGCTGACGTTGGTTTCAGCTACGTTCAGGGTCTTCCTGTAATAGACCCTATTGAAAATGGTTCGTTGGCTTTCGGCCTGAGTACTGACCCTGTGTGTAGTACGAGTTGATAAGGGGAACTTACCGTGTGCATATTCTTTTTTCAACAGTTTCTGCTGAGCGAAACTCTGCGGCGGCGAGCAAGAGTGAACAGGAGCAGCAGACAAAACAGCTGCAGCAGAAGTTTGATGATGAAATGGAGAACCTCAAAAAGGTATAACCTTTTCTTCTTCTTTTTTTGTGCGTTAAAATCATAGAAGTACGCATAAAGTAGTTGCTTTGTTCGATATCGAGCATTTTCCCGATAGATATTGCCTTATGTCATCTAACGCCGGTCATTTCTGTCGCAGGAGCTCACTCAATGCCAGCTGGACCTGGAGGCGAGTCGGTCCCCTGTCGAGGAGCAGAGTGTCCAGCTGAGCTCCCGTCAATCGGAGGCCGGGGAGAGGGACCGGGAGATGACCGAGAGAGCTGCCGTACTCTCCCAGAAGGAGCAGGGGCTGCAGGAGCAGGAGCGACTCCTGCAGGAACGGCTGGAGGGCGTCTCCAGGGAGGAGGACAGGATACGACAGGAGCAGGAGACTGTGGATCAGGAGAAGACGCGGCTGACGGAGCTGGACGCTACGCTAACCCAGAAGGAGGAAATTGCGAGACAGAGAGAGACGGAACTGAAGGAGCTGGAGACTAGCTTGGGAGAGAAGAGGAAGAGGCTGGAGGAGCAGCTTAGTCGGCTCCAGGAGGAGGGGGTGGCACTGGATGGTGAGAAGAAACAGGTGGAGGATAGAGAGACTGCGGTCAAAGAGCAGGAGGCTGGATTATTAGACAAACAGACATTGTTAGAGAAGGTAGAAAATGGGCTCAAAGAAAAGGAGATGTCGCTCAACGATCTGGAGACTCGCCTACACCAACAGGAAGTGTTGGCCCAAGTGCGAGACTCCGACTATCGTCAGAAGGAGGAATCCCTGCAGGAGAGAGAATCCTCGCTGTGCCAACGGGAGGAGGCGGCGAGAGAGCAGGAGTCGGTCTGCCAGCGCAGAGAGGAGGCGGCGCAGGAGCGTGAGACTCGCCTGGAGCAGAGCGCGCGCACTGTTCAGGAGCAGGAGAGTCGGCTGGTGAGGAGGACGGAGGAGCTGGAGCAGCGGGAGCGGGACCTGGAGGTGGCCAGAGCCAGCATGCAGCGCACAGACGAGGAGGTGAGAGGACACGCGGGTGATCGCGCTCGGTACCGGGGAGCGCAGCGGGGAAGTGCTTCTTTTGTTTATCTACTTTACTTCTTTGGTGTTGAGTCAATCAGGTATCAGCCATAGACCACTATATACCTGGACTGTGCACTGATATTGCCGACTGCCATTAGGGCCCTGCTGGAAAATTTGACGTAGCACGCGGAATTGTGTGTTGATGCTCTAGTAAGCCCTAGGCATATAGGTATATAGTGGTCTATGTATCAGCTTGTTTTGTGTGAGGCTTCATCGGGTTGGTTGGTAGGCATCTTATTGAGCGATTTCATTCATTCATTTACTCATTCATTCATTCATTCGTTCGTTCATTCATTCATTCATTCATTCATTCATTCATTCATTCATTCATTCATTCATTCAGAGAAGATGTACACAATTTAACGGACAGCGGAATCCAGTTTATCGCCTGATTCTTAACACTTTGATATTTTTTTATTGAGATAAATTGTGTTATTTCAGGTGCAGCAGAAACAGGGAGACAACGAAGCACTGAGAGGCATTGTCTCCCGTCTGGAGGGAGACTTGGCTGCGGCGAGGCAGGAGGTGAGACAGAGGCAGGGAGACACTGACGAGCTGCGAGCCACTGTCTCCCGTTTGGAGGCTGAACTGAAGACGGCTCAGCAGCGAGCCGAGAAGGCGGCCGCGGAGGTCAAGGAGACCGCCACCCGGCTCAGCGAGGAGCATAGGTATGTGTGATGGAAGCTTGGAACCAAGAAAATTTATAGTCTCGTTGACTGACTCCCATATCAGTTTATCGACTGTCGATATGGCGAAGGGTGATGAGGCGCTGGTAAATGTTATGTCTGATGGTATGGGTAGCACTTAATGGTATGTCCAGAAATGCTTCCATTTTAATGCACCGTTTTTCTGTATGTTGCCGCCATTGAGATTCGTTATTTTTGTTTTCTGAGTATGACCGTTCTAACACATTATTTCTCTCATCCCTCCAGTCGGCAGCTGGCCGCTGTTAGCGACGAGCAGGCCCGCTCGGTGGATGCCCGTCTGACGGAGCTGTCCAGCCAGCACCAGCACCGGCTGCAGGAGCTGAATTCCCAGCACCAGACGGAGCTACAGGAGCTGAACTCTCAGCACCAGGCAAAGCTGGAAGAGCAGAATTCTCAGCACCAAGCTGAAATACAGGAGCTGGGTTCGCAACACCAAGCTGAACTGGAGAAGCAGAACTCACAGCACCAGACTGAGATGCAGGACCTCCAACAGCAGCTTCAGACGGAGCGCTCAGAGGCCGAGACCGGTCGAACCGAGCTGCAGCGGCTGGACGGGAAGGTGACGGAGCTGGAGACTGAGCTGGAGTCCGAGCGGAGTCGGTCAGAGACCAGCCGTGGGCGGGGAGACCAACTGTCCATCCGCGCGGAACAGCTGGAGGCCCAGCTGCTGACGGAGCGGGGAGAGGCTGAGAAGGCTAGGGAAGAGCGGGACGAACTGGTGCAGAGAGTGGGTCAACTGGAAACGGAACTGGAAACTGAGCGGGTAGAGCGTCAGAGCAGTCGGAGGGAGTGTGACGATCTGACCCAGAAGGTGCAGCAGTTGGAGACTGAACTACAGGCGGAAAGAGGAGAGAAACAGGAGAGTAGAGAGAAGCAGGAGGAGCTGCTGAAACGGACGGAGGAGATAGAGGCGCAGTTACAGGCTGAGAAAACGCAGAGTGAAACTAGTAGAGAGGAGTGGCAGCAACGTGCCAAACAGCTGGAGGAAGCTCTGCAAACTGAACGGGATCAGAGTCAGGCCGAACGCGAGAAACAGACGGAGCTTGCAAGACAGAAGGAACAGCTTGAAGCTGAGTTGATAACGGAGCGAAGCTTAAGTCAATCGAGCAGTGATGAGCTAGCTCGTCGCGCGAAGGAGTTGGAAGCTGAACTGCGCACTGAGCGAGCTCAGAACGAAACAGCTCGAGAGAAGGAGGAGGAGTTGAGAAGGCGAGCTGAGGAACTAGAGGCCAGGCTGAACGCCGAGCAAGCTGAGAACCAAGTCGGCCGGGAACAGCAGGAGGAGCTGACAAGGAGAGCCGAAGAGCTAGAAGCAAAACTTCAGAGTGAGCAATCTGAGAATGAATCCAGCCGAGAAAAGCTTGCCGAATTAGCAAGGCGAGCGGAAGAGCTAGAGGCCAAACTCAAGATCGAACAAACTGGTAAAGATTCTAGCCAAGAAAAGCAAGAGGAACTAGCTAGGCGAGCTGAGGACCTAGAGGCCAAACTGAAGATAGAACAGGCTTCGAACGAATCTGGCCGTGTGGAGCACGAAGAGCTGCTGCGTCGAACTCAACAGCTAGAATCCCAGCTCCAGACTGAACAAACCCAGAATCAGACCAGTCTCGCCGAGCGCGACGAACTGTCCCGTCGTGTTGAGTCTCTCCAGTCTGAGCTTGACTCTACTCAGAGCAGCTCAGCTGCCGAGCGGGAGAACCTCTCCCGTCGCGTGGAGTCCCTGGAGTCCGAACTAGCGGCCGCCCAGGCTCGGCAGGACGCGGACCGCACCGATCGGGAGGAGTCGCTTCTGCGCTCAGAGGACCTGGCTGCTGCCGTGTCAGCAGTCGAGGCCAGTCTGCGGGACGCCGAGCCGGGCGGTCCGGAGACGGAGACGGCGGGAGAGCCGGCGGAGCGGGCCGGTCCCCTGCTGCGCCGCTGCGCCGGCCGCCTGACCAGCCTCACGGCCGCACTGAAAACGGAGCGGGCCCGCCGCCGGCGCCTGGAGGCCAGGGCGGCCGCCGCCTCAGCGACAACGAGCGAGCCGGTGAGAGGGACTAATTGACTGGGTGACCGTCTTAGATAACTACATTACTCTGTATGACCCTACTGTCTTTTTGTGGTGATATTTTTGCACCATTAGTCACTTACTTTGTGAAATAGAAATATAACTAACTGTTGCTGTGTAGCTCTCAGCTTCACCGTCAATCATCGTGCCTGCGGTGCCATCATGTGGCGTCCTCATCCACTGACATCAGTAGCCGCTCATAACTCGCGCTCTGTTGTGACAGGTGGCGGCGTCGGCGGCCGAGGGGCGGCTTCCCACCGAGCCGGCCGGGCCGCCGGCGGTTCTGGAGACTCAGATGGAGACCGTGCAGATGCTCGGTCTGCAGGGAGCGGTAAGACTCGACTGTGAACGGATGGGACGGGGTTACTCATGTCGGGGAGATGTGAAATGATTAATGGTTTTGTTGGGTTGCGATGTTTTGGTTTCTGTTGGTTGCGGTGGGGATTAGCCTCGGGATATTCAGGGAAATATTCAACGCTGGTGGTCCGGCTAACGCGCTGATTTTATGAGGCATTCAAACCGGTAGTGTAGGTTGATGTGTTTATCTTTGGCATGCACCCGGGGGTTTTGTTTATTAGCTCAGAGCGTCAGTGAGTCAGTAATGCAGGCGTCTGTGGTTGATGTAGATCGGGAGTGGAACTGTTGGCGGCACAGCCGACGGCCGGGGCTCGTTTTTAACTGAGGGTGCTGGAGGTGTGAACAGCGGACGTATTTTCTCAGGGGGCTTCAACAGCTGTGATATGATATGCGCGACATCTGCTGGACGTGGTGCCGTGGGATCAATGATGGGCAATGTTTTTAGTCTCAAACCATTCCTTCCCATTTTTATGTTTGCTTCCAATCATAACTTGCACCTCGTTTATCTATGCTGTTTTCTTGCTCAGCCTCTTCCGCTTTAATGGTGTCCGTTCATGATAACAGTTGCCATAAAATTTCTATTTTACCCTCTTCCTGGCATCTCAACCCCGTTCCTCTATCACCAGTCGTCTCCTACTCTGATTTCCCCTCTCTCACTTTACCATGCCCGCCTCACTCCATTCGCCCGCTCCCAGCAGATTCGGAACGGATTGGACTCCTCCTCTGCGGGCTCCGTGGGGAGCCCGGCGCCGCCGGCGGACGGACAGGCGGCCGTGGAGGCGGCGACGGCGTCCCTGCAGCGTGAGCTGCTCTCCTACCGACAGCAGATGAAGGAGACCAACGAAAAACACCAGTGAGTGGCGGTAGTGTGCCATTAATGAAAGGAATTAGATGGACGGGGTTGGACGGAACGTCCAGTGGGGGGGGGGGGGGTCCGTCACCCCCCCCCCCCACTGGATGTGGTGACGGAATGACGTGAATAACTTACTTACAGCATATTCAGTTACTTAACAGCATATTCCTTTGCTCGCCAATCATTCACAATATTCTCTGCGCAACTATGCCTTGGTTTATCATACGTTTATCATGCGTATATGGCTAGCCTGCGTGATTGTTCTAAACTCCCTCCGTCTTTGGCCTGCCCATTCACCTGCCAATCTGACCCCCTCCCCCCCCCCCCCCAGACGGGAGCTGGCGGAGCTGCGCCGGTTGCTGGAGCTGCGGCACGCCTCGCCGCCGTCGGGCGCCGCCGCAGCCGACCTGACCTCGGGACTGGATGCCCTCACAGAGATAGAGTACCTGAGGAATATACTGTACCAGTATATGATGGGCCGAGAGCCACTGGTGAGGTCATAGACGGTGCCATGACAGCTGTGAATATGTCAGAGTTTCTGCTGAGTAGTCATTTGGAACTTGAAATAATATATGCCATTGCTTATAATATATGACCTTGCTTATAATATATACCATTACTTTTTTAAGCCACACGGATCCGCATTAGTGTGCCGGGAAGGTTTGACCATGCATGCATACATAAAAATCTGTTTGCTCTATTCCGTTTTACCTTCTCGTCATGTGTGCTATCGTGTCTTGTGATACCCTGTCTGTAACCCTCTATTCTGACCCGATGTGACCTCATGTTCTCTCTGTGCGGCAGACGCTCGCCAAGGTGATCACGGCGGTACTCAAGTTCAGCTCGGAGCAGACGGCCAAAGTGCTGGAGAAGGAGGAGCAGCGGCAGTCGGCGGTGAGTGAAAATAACGCTCTGAGAGAGACGCGTAGTGTCAGTCACAGTATCATGCGCGGTATGATGTCAGTCACACAGTCCGGATGGGTGTGGAAAACGATGTGGGTAAGCCGACAAGGGGGCCAGTGGATTAAGTATGGTGCCTTGGAGCGATACTGTCCGTGCAGTAACTTAGGAAAACATTTGCAATTTTCATTTGAACGTTCGACGTCGCTTTCTTAATACATAATGCCTCCAGTAACGTGTCAAGTGATCCTTGTATTCGACTTGGTGAATCAGTTAATGTCGACTTGCTCGCATGCTGTATTTCTCGAATAAGACTGAATAATAGTTGAGCGCCGTTTCCTGTTTATCAATATGCACAGTCTGTCTTAAAAGTACCGCGCAAAGTGACGGTGGATCCATCAAGCCTGACCGAGGAAGGGCGTACTATAATTTGAAAGTCACCGAACCAATTGACCTGGGGAAGGGACGAGAATGAGGGCTGCAGCCCGGATCATCACGGGCTGCGTCGCGTCGACCCCGACACATGCGCTGATGGCGGAAGCGGGCCTCGCCCCGGTGGCCTCAAGAAGGACCACGCTAGCTGCTCGACTGCTGGCGAAGGCGCGAGCCCTCCCAGAAGAGGACCCCCTCCGGCGAGTTGCGGACAGCACGGCAGTGAAGCGGCTGACGACGGTGGCAGGCTGGAGAGAAGTGGGACAGGTGGCGTGGACGGAGGCTGGAGTGGCGGCGAGGATGGAGCCCATCCTTCAGCCCCGTACCCCACCGTGGCTGCGACCCGCGCCGGTCACCTTTGACCTGGAGGCCGGGACGCGCCCACCACCTGGATCGCCCGCTGATCGCCGAAGACAAGAGGCTGCCCTCTGTCTGGCCTCCCTCCCCCAGTGTGCCACCTGGGTGTGGACGGACGGTTCAGCGGAGGAGGGCTTCAGGGACGGCGGCGCTGGAGCACTCATCGTGTGGCCGGACGACGCAACAAAAGAGCTCCGTGCCCCGGCCGGTAGTTTGTGTAGCAGCTACCGGGCCAAGATGGTAGCCCTCCGCACGGCCTTGAGACACCTCTTGGATCACCCGGCTCACGAAGATGACCCCATCGTTATATCGACACTTTTTTTTAAACCCCACATCTGTTCTCCGGTGAATTTCCGGGAAGCACGAAAGATCTCTTTTTAGAAGTGTCCAATCGTCCGATCCTGATCAAATTTGTGTGTTCGTAAGCTTGCTATGGCATAGCTTGATCTGCCAAGACAGACAAACTTGAGAAAAATCGAGTGACTGTACCTTTTTTGAAGGTTTCTAAACAACTTGTCTGAACTTCACGGGAGAACAAATGTGGGGTTTAAAAAAAAGGTGTCGATATGTACAGACTCCCAAGCTGCCCTGGCGGCCCTCAGAAGCGGCCCTTCTGAGCAACGGACCCAGCTCAACAGTGAAGTCTGGGATGCCCTCACCCTCCTGACAAGAGAGGGTGCTCGCCGGCTCCACCTTCAATGGGTCCCTTCCCACTGCGGTTTAGAAGGGAACGAGCGGGCCGACGTCCTGGCCAAGGAGGCGTCGGCGCTCCCGCAGGAAGAGGTCCCCCTCGATGTGAGGACCGTGCTGAGGGCGTCCGCCAGAGCAGCGAGGACAAGAATCGGCAGACAACGCCCCAGTGGGTGGTACCGGGACCTGTGGGGCGAACGCCTGCCTCCACCTGCGGCTGATCTGGACCGCCACGCGGCTGTAGAGGTGCACCAGCTGCGGGCGGGCCACTGGTCGGGCTCCGCCCAGTATATGCACAGGATCGGCCGTAACCCAACGGTGGAGTGCCCTGGCTGCAGTGACCATGGATGCCGAGCGGGACGGTGTCCGGTGTGTCGGGAGGAGGCAGACACGCCCGGGCATGTTCTGCTGCGATGCCCTGCCCTGATGAACCTGAGGTTCCGCCTGCTGGGCACCATCCACCCGTCACACGAGGAGATTCGGAGCGCGGACGTCGTCGCGGCCCTGGCGGCCGCGACCAGACGACTTCAAAGCCGGGAGGCTTCGCGGCAGTGATCCTGCCGCCGAGGGGAATCAACAACAACAACAACAACAACAACAGGATGTCCATTGCTTCGGTGACTCAAATTTAGCACTCCTTCCTCGGTCAGGCTTGATGGATCCACCGTTACTTTGCACGCCGTACTTTTAAGACAGACTGTACGTTCAATTCAAGACATCTGTGCGCACTACCTTGCTTGGCTGGTCTGTATTTGAACTAACCTTACATGTCCCGTTTCAGCTGCTACCGCCGGCGGTCAACTCCACAATGGACTCGGTCGGTTCCACGCTCTCCGCGCTGTCCCCATTCAAATGGAGCTAACCTCAGCCGAGACCTGGCGTGTCTTGGCGTCCATAACAACAAACGGCCTCGGATCATGGCGGTGGGTGCTCTCCGTGATCAAAGTTTTACCATGACTGTGTGATGTGTGGAGAATCGGGATGGTATGGAGGTCGGGGACCTATTTATAAGCCATCAGTGCATACCAGTGATTTAGAGGATCGTGTGTGCCTGCTATCGAACGGATAATGATGTTGGGACGGTCGCTGGTGTCAGATGGATGTCTGTGTTGTGTTCCGGCTCGGTTTTACCGGCCGTCGTGTGGTCTCAATATGTGTGGTCCGTATACACCCAGTAGCCACGGGAAGCTGCAGAGATAACACCAGGACCGATTGAAGGGAGCCTTATGGTCGCGGCTAACTAATATGATGCTTATTTTACCCGGTGATCGTACACAGTGATTGTGTGGCAGTGTTATGAAATGCTAATTGGAACATATTTATAAGCTACATATGCATATTAAAATATATCAGCCTTTTAAAAACGATTTTTGGCATGTTCGATACAATACGAGCAGTCGTATCATCTCAGTATTCTCGTCTTATAAATTTTATCCGGGGTTTATTTATACCACACGCCCATGATGTCTATGTTTCCACATTCGGGTGTCTTCTTAGACCTGCCGCAACTGACCTTCCTATTCTGGAACTAGGGGTTTCCCGACCTTCACATCTATGACCTATCTACCAGAAGACGACGCATTCTTAATACTGAGAAGCTTAGACTGTGTTTATTCCATTAAGCACGGTCCTAATGCATGTCACTAGCGACGAGCAACGCCATTGCTTTCAGAGAACTGGCAGGATTTGTCCGTGGAAAAGTATTGCGTTGTTGTTAATACCTCCGATAGCCTTATTTCTGGAACAGTATAGCGAATGATTGGCATAGGTTTGTACCGAACATCTGACACGAACATAGCGTTTGCCAGTCAGCTGTATACAGTCATGACTGGCCAGAATGGAGGTGTAATACTCCTTCAGAATTTCAAACTTTTAGCCGATTGCTTTCTGGAAGGTAACCAGCTCAAGAAAACAACAGTAATACGTGATGGACAATGTAACAGGAATCATAAATATGTATTTAAAAGCATTTGTCTCTCGCGTTTCCATGCTCTCCCGCTCGCTGGACCCGAGGAAGTGGGAGGGAGTGGCTCCCTCGCGCATGATGTCCCGTCTACCGGGCTCTGCGTCATTCAGCGTTTCTCGTCTACTGTTGCTCCCCTCCCGCCGGACCGGGTGACACCGTCCAGTCGGACCGGCTCCGCCGGACCGGCTCGGCTGCCGGATGTGCACTGGTGCTGCCTGCCAACGAAACTCTAACTTTCGATATTCGGGGCTCGTCGGAATGTTGATATGGGTTTCGAACGGTTGAGTATCCGTATCGGTAGTTCAGTAAGAACGTCGGATTGTTGAGCCGTGGAGGATGAGGCCACTCCGCTATTTTACTGATCATTGGTTGTGAACATATTCGATCAGTCACGTCAAGCTTGATCGCACGTTTAACTTTTTATAGGTATCGTTTGTATTGTTGGTTCGGATTTTGTTCACTTTTGTTTGCGAAAAAATACGTAGTTGAGTGCATGTGGCATCGGAAATGGCTAGGCACTCTGGTTAGGTCGAAACTCGAAATTAATTATACACTACGTTTCCATGACACGTCTAAATCGATTTAGCGAAATTTCACGTGCGTTTTTCTCGGAAACTATTTATCTTATGCAAAAAATGAGCGTATATATGGTTTTAGCTAGCACCTAATCCTATATTTACATTTTTAAATTATGCCTAAATGCTATGATGGAGCAAGTCCATTTTTCAAAATCGGCTTAGCTTGTGCCATGGAAACGTAGCCATTAAGGTGATTTTTTTCTGATTCGCTTCAGGTTCTATTCGAAATTGATAGTGCACCGTCCTGGTCCCTATTGCATATAGCGAATCAGGTTCACTTACCTAAGACTCCAGAAGAAATTGCCCCAAATGCATCATTTCCCCCTGTCCTTGTTCTGTTTCCTTTTGCCCATGCCAAGCCATGTGCCTTACACACTGCCCACTGCCCAATCTGTCTCTGTATTGATCGGGCCGGTTCCCGTTCCGTTAGTGGAGGACAGGTTGCAGAGCATGAGACAGCCGAGGGCGCCCCAGGCCATAAAGCCGCGTGCAGACGGATCGATACGCCCAGTTATTGCTGCATTGTCTATGCCTGAACGCAATTAACATCGTCGTAAAACGGGTGCCCGCCGTCGCCGCCGGCGGGCGAAGCAATAAACGGACAAAGTTTCTCGGGGTGCGTCTGGCTTAAGTTTTGACTACCGTGCGTGACCTATAATATTGCCCGTTAAATGTATAGAAGGACGATTCGTTCGCGTTGCCGCTTTCAACATCGTTAACTTGTGATGCGTCTTTTCGTCATGCTCTGTAAACGTTCCTATCGTTGGCATAGCTCGATTTAGAGAAGCCGAACTCGTTTGTGCTGGGCCTGTCTTTGGCCCTACACAGGGACTGAATAGCACACCTATATAATGACCAATCATGTTCTCTGAGATTGCACTTCTGATAGTGACACATGATGGAAGACCTGCCCGGATCATGTCTTTGGCTCCTATCACTGATCAGTGATCAGCTTCAGCAGCCGAGATATGCGAGCTAGGCGCGAACTAAGTGCCGGGTTGGCCCGCAGTTTGCATCTCAAACGACTGCCGGGCCATGGACGAACGTAGCGCCCCGCGGCCGACGTGATGCAACTTTATGCACCATGTTCATTCCGGCACGTACGATGGCTTAATGAGCGCGGCCCGCACCATTTAACATACCGCGAGATGAAATGTGATGCAGTTTTGATGGGCCTTGTCAGAGTCGTTTGTATGTGCTTATATACGAGTATGATGGTTTATTTTCGTAGCTATGCACATGATGGTATAATGGGTGTGAACGACATGGTGTTAAGATCGACCCCGTTAAATTCCACACACAAATAGCCTGGTGATGACGCGCCAGGTCGAATAGCAGACTCTTTTCGATTTGGTATTATTTCTCTTATTTCTTCATATAGCGTATCACGGTACTCTCCTCTCATGGGTGGAGCTTTTCCAGGGAAGTTGGTGGGGCATAAAGTAGTCAAACTTACAGTGTCCAATTGTTGAGCTAGATAAAGTGCAACACTGACTCGATTCTTTTCATTACAGAGATAATGTTTGACATCAGACAGACATTTCAAAGCTCCCCAATGCGAAAAAGATTGGTTAGCTATGCAACAAAATCCTAAAAGTCAGCTTGAGTTGGTGGGGCAAAGCGCTTATTGGTGGGGCAAAACGGCAAGTTGGTGGGGCAGCCGCCCCACCAACTGAATAGGAAGCTCCGCCCCTGTCTCCTCTACCTACAATGTTTTACGAAGAAAATTGGCGATGTCATCGTATTTATTAGCTGTTTCTTTTTCTATGAATTTTAGAACATGATTGATGATATGCAACTTCCATTGCTGCTCAGTGGATAATACGTCACAGATAACAATCACGGTTACCTAAGTGATTGATGCAATTCCCTTGTTAAACTGGCTTCCGTCTTACTTACCTACGGCCTTGGATATAATCTGACATCATAGGCGGCCCTCACACAGAACGTTACTTATCGAGCATTGTTGAAATCTTACCAGATGTTCGCTGTTCAACTGGTTTTGTCCAGCTCAGTCCGAACTTGATTCGCAGGGTTTCTCCCCTCCCTGATCAGTGAACTCATTGCATGGTGTCTGAGGCCTGAGGCATTGCAATGAATGATTTAAGACAACCATGTTAACATTTCTTGCAGGAGTGACCCTTAGGTTCTTGCGATGGTGTGTGTGAGTGATTTCGCATGTGCACAATGCTTTCGCGACATCAATTACGGGTCGGCGTCGCCTGCTACCTAGACAGCGAATAATCGAGGCGTGCAATATATAGGCGCGCTTAAAATAGTTCCTTGACTTTTCCCGCTTTAGCCACCTGCGCTTTATCGCTGCTGGCGGACCTAACTTCTGACAGTTTCCGATCCATTTGACACGAATGACTCAGTTCCGGCTGGTCACCACAGCTAACCAATGAGTCCGGAATCCGGTGTGGCGCGGCGTCCATTCAGCTCCATCGGTCGTGACCTCCCCATCAGCTGTGTTCAGGAGACGCCCCTCAGAGTGGCCGATCTCACATCTCGGACACAGCTATTCACTTATTTACCACCCAGCACACCGTGTCGTCATCCGAGCCAATCGGACCGGCGCTCCTCATCCTGCAGTGCACCCACCAATCACAAACAGAAAGAACACGGCATGACGTCATGCAGGGGACCCTCCCCGAGAGAAGAGGCGCAGTAGCCGTCGGCCAGGCGATGAGTCAGTCAGTCACTCTGTCGCAACCAATCAGAATGGCTGTCTGCAGAGGATGACGTCACTGGTCGGCGGCGGATGTTTGTGGCATGACGTCACCTGTGGGCTGGTCGGTGATGACGTGAAGTGGATGACGTGATCCGCCCGCCAGCTGCCGAGCCCAATCCGTAAACATGCGTGATAGTTCGCATCGGCCAGTCCTCCTACACTGGCCTGTGATTTAGGTGCGCTTTGGCGTTTTTGTATGATTACTCGGAGCTGCATAAATCGCCCTTCGATTGACTCTTAAATGCATCTTTCATTAAAGTTGTCTTAACCCTATTAGTGGCAGGCTCCTGGCTACCCCTATTAGTGGCAGGGGGGCTGTTTACGACCCCCCCTCCCCTGGTATCTCGAGATCTAACGGGCCGGTTTTCAAAATTCAAACGGCATTCGATTTCGCTCAACGTGATCTACATTTCTAAAAAAATAAAAATTAAAAAATGTCAATAGGGGGGTAGAGGGGGGTAAAAACGGGCAAATTGCAGATACATTTTAGACTGTTTATCACGGCCAGGTTTCTGAACCAATCTTAACGCAACTTTTGCCGATCGATAGAGAATGAACCAGGAATTCACATGGATCCTAAAAATATGCATTTTCAAAAATCATAGGCGGATACAGATGTAATTACTAATTATTCCCCAATATTCAGCACCTGGACGCGCCTATGATTTTAGGGGAAAACATCGCTTGTAAGTGTTCACAAATACATGGTATGGTGCATTTGATCGCTTTCTGGCAATGTAACTACTACGAAACCGCTCATCAAATGGTACTGTACATTTCAGTATGAACCCCCCCCCCCCTTTTGGACGCCTGGATCCGCCTATTATAGCAAAAACGTGTCAAAAGAGGATGCACAATAACTTTGTATATGTTATCACATGATACCTTTCATTCACTGTTCGTAAAACTGGTGCATACAGTTATAATACATCAGCATCGTGATCTTCGCCCAAATGACTCGCTTCACGAATAGGACCCCCCAATTCCCAGTGCTCTGGAGCCGCCCCTGGTAAAGTTATGAACTTTAAATTTTTGAGGGAATGTGCCCAATTTAGTTTTAGGAAAAGTCAGAAAATTTCAGCATCGTAGCTTC